TTTTATTGTGATTTTGATGGAAGTTTACAGAGCAAACTCATTTTTGATACAGCAGTTCATTCACGTTGTGTCTCATGACATCGACTGCAATTTCCCACAGTGTAACAGCCCCCCCACTTCCTCCCCACAGCCACCTCTTCCCTGTGTCCTTCCCTCCATGCTCTCCTGCCCCCTGAGCTGTCTCCCTGTGCACACACAGCCCTTCTGTTCTCCCATGATTGATCTCTCCAAGGAGTGTATCATATGCCTGTCTGTTAATCTGGCTGGAAGCCACAGGCGTGAGTTCAGTTCCAGACCTGAAGGGTGACTTAGGGGCCGTAGTCTCAGGGGTCTCACCAGTCTCCATCAGGCCAGCAAACCTGGTCTTTCTTTTTATGATTTTGATTTTTCTCCCCATTGTTCTCCCACTCTATCCAAGTTGCCCTTTAGTTGTGGGACAGGCAGGTGAAGGGCATACTGTTGGCATGGTTGGCAGAGCTGATCTGACGGGCCTCGTTCATAGATTCCGTACAGAAAACCTCGGCTTTTCCTAACCCCATCCTGAGACCATTTGTGTTAATTCCTTACCTGAAGCACCCTGCGTTGGTCCTGTGTGCACGGTCTCTCTGTCCTCTGTTTATGGCTCCTGGCATGTTTGATGAGGTAGGGAGTCCGTGGCTCAGCAGGCTTCGTGGAGTCGCAGGGTGTCCATGAGAGCGTTTGGCTGGGTTTTCTATGTTCAAACAGAACTTCCATCCTGCTGTGGGGGTTTGGTACAGCACAGTTCACAGCAGTCACACACCAGAAACGGAGAGCGGATGAGATGTCCTTGTGAGCCCGGGAAGTGGGGTGCCTGACCCACAGGAGACCCCACCCTGGGGGCCCCTTGCTGGAGAGAGTGGGCTGTGCTGCTCAGCACCTTGGGGTGCTGCGTAGAGTCTACTCTGTGAGGACATGGGGTGGTACTTGCTGGGATAAGTGGCAATGATGTAACGAGACAGTCTTAGCACCTTGGAAAGGTCCTGGCTTAAAGGGGAGAGAGGCACTTAGGAGCGGGCAACAGTCATGCGGAGAGGAGGGGCGGCGCAGGCGTGGTGGCCGCTCTCGGTCAGGTGGGGGTTGGGTGCCCGTCACTGGTCACAGCTTGTTTTCATTCTGGTGCCCCCCCACACCGTCTTCTGAAACCTGACCTCCATCACTCCCCGCTGAGGGACTTTGTGTCCGATCAGGGTGAGGTTGAGGTGGGAGGTGGTGTGCCCCTTCCCTCCCTGGGCCGCCAGCAGCCTGGGTCCTGGTCACGTGCAGGCCGTGTGAGTCACTCCTCTGCTCACGCTGCACCTCCAGACCTTCCCTGACCGCTTCAGTCTAAAGCCCCCGCAGAGCCCCACACGCCTCAGGTCGCTTCTACTCCATGCTGCCGACACGTGTGCCACCCCTCGGGGCCCCCGCATGGCTCACACCACTTCTGCTCCATAGTGCCAGCACTGGTCCTATTCCAGGCCCAGTGACATTGGGCCATTGTGTGCACAGATGTCAGTGACAAGGTGTGCAAAGCCTGGCACATGACATGTGGCTGGAAGAGTGAAAGAGGGAGGAGCACGTATCTGAGTAAAGAGAGACCCCTCCCCCCAGACCACACAGGGTGGGAATGCTGCTCTGTGCGGGGGGCCTCAGGCCACCCCAGCAGCACCGTGCCTGTGTGGGGACCGCGCCTGTGCAGGGACGTGCCTGTGTGGGGACCGCGCCTGTGTGGGGACCGCGCTTGGCCAACGGAGGCTGTCTCTCAGATCCCCATCCAGATTGTGGATGCCTCTTCGGTGATCACCTGGGACTTTGACGTGTGCAAAGGGGACATCGTCTTCAACATCTATCACTCCAAGAGGTCGCCCCAGCCGCCCAAGAAGGACTCGCTGGGTGCGCACAGCATTACCTCCCCCGGAGGGAACAACGTGCAGCTCATAGACAAGGCCTGGCAGCTGGGCCGAGACTACAGCATGGTGGAGTCGCCGCTCATATGCAAGGAAGGGGAGAGCGTGCAGGTGAGGCCCGCCCCGCGCCGCGGCCCGGCCGCTCTGTCCGAGTCCGGCCTGCTCAGCTGGCCCCGGCCCGCGTCTGTGGGAGAGCGGGAAGGGGCGCCCGTTGCCCCTGTGCTTCTCAGCTGTCAGGAGAGCTCAGAGGAGGCAGGCCTGGGCGTTGGCTGCGGGCAGAACCCGGACTGTCCAAGTATTTCCAGGGGGCAGGTGAGAGGAAGGGAAGTGTCATCCGAGCACAGCCAGCTGGGCTTCAGACTCCCGGCAGGGCGGGCCGTCTGAGTTCACCTCCTTCAGAGGAAGAGTGCCCTAAATAGAAGCGGGAGAAAGGAGTGCTTAGGGGACCATTAGCTGTCATCAGTGAACATTGTAATTTACGCCAAGCGCGTTGTCAGTTCCTTTGGCCGGTTCTGGCTGGTTATTTGCAGTACCGCTGCTCTCCCGGAGCGCCAGCCCTCCCGCGAGGCACACCGGGGCTGCTGGTGCAGCTGTCAGGGGCCGGCCCGGCATGCCGGAGGTCCTGGAAGCCGAGTTAGGAGTAATGGACGCAGGGCCAGGCTTCGCTTCCAGGACGCGTGGAAGAGCCGCCTTCAGATTGGTGGTCCACCTTCGACCGACAGGCTCTCAGCCCAGAGGCCCCTGTGAGGGCGGTGGGTTTGACATGCTGCCGGCGCAGTCCCGAGTCTGGTCACAGCTCTGTGGGGCGTCTCTGTCCAGGCCCGTCCCCCACAGCCTGCTGGCCGCTGATCACTGAGCGACCTCACTGGGCCTCCAGCTGGCGGAGGATGCCTGAGGGCGGGCAGGGAGCTGCCTCTGCGCGGCCCACACCTCCTTCCCCCACACCTCCCTCGCCCCGCTCCCAGGTCCCGCCCCTGGCAGAGGGCTCACCCCCAGCTGGTGCCTGGTGATGGAGGGAGACTGTTAGAACGTTTCCCAACAGAGAAAGAGTGGAGGCCTTTTATCCCGTTGAGAGGGTCCCTTCATCCCTGCTTGACACTGGAGAGCTCCAGGACGGCCCCCTGCGTTGGTTGGGAGCCAAAGGCCGGGCCTGGGAGACCAGTCCTGCTCAGTGCGGCTGCCTTCCCGTCCCCAGGGCTCTCACGTGACGCGGTGGCCGGGCTTCTACATCCTGCAGTGGAGGTTCCACAGCACGCCTGCGTGTGCCGCCACCAACCTGCCGCGGGTGGACGACGTGCTGGCCTCCCTGCAGGTGTCCTCGCACAAGTGCAAGGTCATGTACTACACGGAGGTGATCGGGTCCGAGGACTTCAGGTACAGCTCCCTTGCCGTGGCGGAGGCCACGTGTGCGAGGGTGTTGGAGGTGTGCTGGGCAGGAGGGGCTGGGTCCCTCACTGCTCCGTGACCGCACGTGTGACGAGAGGGAGGGGGGAGCTTTGGCCCGATTGGTCCATGATGGGATCTGTGTGGAAGGCAGGGGTACCTGTGCTGAGGGAAGCCGGCTGGGGCGTGTCCGGATGTGCTAATTGCCTTAGACGGGTATGTAGGGCCCAGGGCAGCAGTGGAGATGTTAGGTCGCAGAGGGCCCAGGTGAGCAGGGCTGTAGGCCTCAGTGGGCCCGGGTCAGGGGTGGGGGTATAGGTCGTGCGGGGCCTGGGTCAGTGGCAGGGGTGGGAGGCCTCAGTGGGCCCGGGTCAGGGGTGGGGGTGGAAGGCCGTGGAGGGCCCCAGTCAGCGGCAGGGGTGGGAGGTGGCTGGTTTTTGGGAGACCGCGGGGGGCACAGTGCTGACCCTCTTCTCTGCCTTGTTCCAGGGGCTCCATGACCAGCCTAGAGTCCAGCCACAGCGGGTTCTCTCAGCTGAGTGCCACTACCACCTCCTCCAGCCAGTCCCACTGCAGCTCCATGGTTTCCAGGTAGTGCAGCGAGGCCACCCAGGGAGCGAGGGGACGGCACTCCGCGGGACGCCAGTGCCACCTGCCGGGTGACGGGCACAGATGCCTCTCCCCCTAGATAGCAAACTAGCTCCTCCAGATGGTAAACTAGTCCTTGTGATCCTGATCCTCTCTGACAGGTAGTTGTAACTCGACCCCCGACTCTAACTGATAGCCATAGACCTTGTAAACATTGTGCACAAATCCACGTGGGGCACAAGGGCTCTCGTGAGAGGACGGTAGCTTACAGACAATTGAGAGATTGACTTTGTCTCACACGTTGATGCAAAAAAATTTTTCCAGCAAACTCCAGCCAATTGTTTGATTGTATATTAGTGAGTGGGTTCTTGTACCATCCTCAGAGAGGAGGCCACCTGCTTACAGGGGACACAGACCTGCACCTCGTGCCCTAAAAGCTGCACCCAGCCCTTACGTTCCGTTCCCTGCCTGTTCAAAACACTCTGTGGATTCAGCGGCAGCCCTCAGGGTCCTTTCCGCGGGCAGATGCTGTCACTCTGCAGGACGCGAGCAGCCCCGGGAGCCCGCCCTCTGCGGCCCGACTCCCCCAGTGCCGAGGGTGCCAGCAGGCCCGGGGACTACAGGGCCCCAGGACTTCAAGGAGAACGCCCCTCTCCTTAGCCGTTGCTGTCCCCTCCTTGACACACGCTGTTCACGCTTTTCAGAGTAGGGTGTCTCTGCACTTGAACTTGGGTGGGGAGGCTTTCCCTCTTCCTTCTGGGGTGGTGGCTTCCTGCCCTGTGGGATGCCTGCTTTGAACTCAGGGCTGCCTCACCTCCCCTGTGGCCCTTGGGGCTTCGTGTCGCCAGGGCGCAGGCGGTCCCTCTGGAAAAGCAGCTGGAACACCAAGCCTGTGTGGGTTGTAGCCAAGCTGACCTCGCACTGTGTTGCCAGTTAGGGTAGCCTAGGGCTTGTAGGAGCCCTGCTGCCGGGTACGCAGTTGGTGGGTGTGCACAGCAGCGGGGTGCCAGCAGGCGGGGCCAACAGAAATGTAGTCCAGGGAACAGAGGGTCCTTCCCAGAAGCACATCTGAGCGCGAGGTGCTTTGACCTTTTGCATTTTCCTCCCAATCGCGGTTACGGAGGTGGCCCTGTCTTGTTAGGCCCACACGGCGGCTTGTTTCAGAAGAGCAGGGCACGTTGGGTCCTGCAGGTGATGGGGCAGGTCTGTGTGATGGACATGGGCAGTGTCTTTTCGTGTGTGGCAGAGATGTGCTTTTGAAGGTGTGTGCCAAAGCCGCACGGCCACCTTCTGTGTAACAGGCAGGGAAGCCCAGCCGGCCAGCTGTTAGGAGACCACTGTGAGACACTGGCTGGGGGCCTGTGCTGGAGAGTGGAGGGGCCCCGCGGGGAGGGGTCAGAAGGCCAGGCCAGACACCACGCTGCCAGCCCGGGACCCTGCCCCTCACTGTCGGCCACCTCCTGGACCGGGCTCTGCCAGTCACGCTCACATGGCGTCGGAAGCCTCCTCCAGGGTGCGTGGCAGATTCCTCAGTGAATCTGTGCCGTGTCCAGATAGCTCCCTGCTGCCACAGTGAGGACCTGAAGGCGGCCCCCCCCCCCTTTCTCTCTCTGTCTCTCTCTCTCTCTGTGTGTGTGCTTCAGATGGCGATTTTGCTGACAGCTGCAAAGAAAACGCTTCCCGCGCCTGTCACGTCCGCCCAGAGACGTTGTAGACCTTTCAGCTGCAGCCACTTTCCCGCCCCCAGTCTGAAGATGTGTCTTTTTCAGTTGAGTGGAAAGTGGCAGTCTTATCCCCAAAGAGTCTCTTGAAGCTTTCAGGGTTGAAAGCACACGGCTGCGGCCACCTACAGGGTTTCCTCAGGAGTAGACCCCACGTCCTGCTCTCCGCGGAGCGACTGGGTACCTAGCGTTCTGGGGTCTGCATTCTGTTGCCACGCTCCGTTCCGGCCACTGTCCACAGAGCTGCTGTCGCCCTCTCCCGTGGGGAGCCCTCCGGTCTCCGGCCGTGTTACTAACGTCTCCACCACTGCTCCCTAACTCATATTTGCATATCAAATTCTGTAAATGTTTTGTAAACATATTACCTCACTCTTGGTAATACAATACTGATAGTCTTTAAAAGATTTTTTTATTGTTATCCGTAATAAATGTGAACTGTTTGAAGAAAAGGCGCCTGTCTTTGTTACAGCATTCTGTCTCTGTTACGTGACAGCACATGCCGTCAGTAGAACTAGAACGGCCTCATTCTGCAGCCCCAGGAACCAACACGGGGAGGGGTTGTGCTCCGGCAGCTGCTGGGGTCACAGGAGAGACAGCCAGACCCCGGGTGCCTCTTGGGGACCTGCAGTCCCACCTGTTCTCCAGCCCAGTTGAGCCGGCATCTGGATCCAGCTGCTGACCTGCGGAAAGTATGGGACACAGCCACCCACACTGTGGAAGCCAGGGGTCAGAGGGCGTGGGTCCTTCAACAGAGAAGTTGAGAGAAAAGAAATCAGGCAGGTTTTTACAGATTCTGAGACCAGCCAAACTTGTCATCAGTGGGCAGGACTAAGCTGTGATCAGGAGACAGCTGGGTGCTGGGGCGACGTGACAGTGGCCAGAAGTGATGAGCGTGGTAGTCAGGACAGAGGTTCTTGGGGCGGGGTGTATGTGTGCAGAGTTCTAATTTTACAGTAAAACAGTGTTCTGTTTTATCTTGAGTCAGGCCTCTGGACATGCTAGTTTGCCTTGATGGGGAAGGACCCCTTGGTTCTTGGGAATGCCCTAGTCATCAGGGAGCACTGCTCGGGCAGGCAGCCCAGGCCCTGTGTTCAGGGCTGCAACTGCGGGAGCTAGCATTTGAGCTCGCGTTTGCCGTGGCCCTGTGAGGATGGCAGAGCAGACTGGCTGGTGCAAGTGACCGAGTCTGGGACCCTGCCCATCAGAGCTCTGTCCCTGCCTCAAACTGCCCACACCCTGTCGTCTCTCTTCAAACAGTGTAACTGGCTTCGGACCCTGCCTTTGGGTTTCAGATCTCAGTTACCAGGACCCAGCATCAAAATTACACACAGGCTGAGAACAGCTGCTGCCCACCGCCTTTGGGCTAGTTCTCAGAAGCCAGGCTCCCTGCCTGTGTATCCACAGCCCCCACCAGTTGCTGGGGGTCGACTGACTTGCGGCAGCCCCGTGTGGGTCAGAGGAGCCCTGTGCTCCAGAGGTGTTCGGTGCCTGAGCGTTTGCAGGTGGATCACCTGGGTCACCAGGCCTTTCCTCCAGTTACCAGCAGGTGGACCTGAAGCAGCCTTCCAGTTAGCAGCCTACCCTGTCAACCATCGTGCCACCCGGGGACGCCCTTTCCCATGCAGAGAGTGACGGCAGGGACACAGCCCAGCCCCAGAGAGGGCAGGAGCCTCCCAGCTGCAGTGAGTTGGGACTTGAAGCTCTGACTGGCAGGCCCTGCTCCTGCCCCCCTGCAGGGCCCTGTAACCCGGATCTGACAGCCTTCAGCTCTACAGGCGAGCATTCAGCCCACCTGCAGCCCCAGAGTGGGCCCCTTTTTTCCCCGGTTCTGCTGGGGGCCACCTGGTGGCCATGTTGGAGAGACACAGCGTCACCCTGCTGGAGCTACAGGACAATGAAGGCTTTGCTCCTGCCGCTCGCCTGGAGTCGGAGCTGGCGCGGAGGTTCCCCAGCCCTCATGCCACTCCAGCCCCTCAGGAGGGCTGTGCTCTGCCGTCGGAATTTCCCGAGATCGGTTAACGTGGGCTCGCTCCCCTTGGTTTGTGTGCTCTGTGTGTGTATGTGTGTGTGTTTCCCGTCCGTAGGTTTATCTTTCAAGTTGTAGAATGAAATCACAGATCCGGTTCAGGTCTCTCCATGTCCGGCTGAGGGATCTGAGTCCAGAGGAAGTGATGTACCTGGTCTTGGGGGCGGTGCCGGGCCAGGCTGGGGTGTGCTCAGCTTGCCGAGGACAAGGGCTGCCCGACAGCTCCCCGAGCCCTGGCTTCTCCCTGTAAACGGCGGTGGCCGTCTCAGCCCTGAGGCCCCTCCCTCCTCACTTTGCTGTCACTGCCCCGTGGCTGGGAGGGGCAGCCTCTCTCCAGGGGCAGTTGTCACGGCGTGAGGCGCAGACAGGAGCACAGCCCACGCACCCTCCCTGTGCCGCAGGAGGCTGCCCAGCGCAGGACCCGCCCAGCCTCGGGGCTCGGGAAGGACAGTGCTGATGGAAGAGAAGCCGCTAGGCCAGCGGGAGGCCAGAGAGAAGCTCCAAGTCAAAACACAGCAATGAAGCTCCGTAAGGAACTTTCTTCTTCAGGAGACACAAGATGACCCTAGAGGAGGAAGTAAAAATGCCAGCAAACTGCCCCTGAGCACAGGAGCCCTGGAGACAGGTGTCTGCACCGTGGCGTCCATGAAAGCAGTGTGGTGGGGGCAGCCACCATGCACTGACCCCACGAGGGTGCGGTCATTAGCAGCAGCTGCCCGAGGCTGGCTGCTGGAGGGCGGAGGTGGACGTGCCTCCGCCTCCGTCGCTCCCTGTCGCCGGTGCTGCAGCTCGCTCTCTGCCTCCTGGGTCCAGGAGGTTCTCAGCACAGGGTTGCCGGTCCAAGGACACGCTGCTCCCGTCGCTCATTACTGGTCATGCTTCCCCCTTGTGCCTCGGGGGTGGCTCACTTAGCACCAACAGGATGGTAAGACGGACCAGTCCCCTGCTTAGGCTTCCAAGCCACCAGGCTTTTGTCCAACTGTCACACTGTAATAGTGTGCACGTTGCTGTGATGCTACAAGCTACGCCCTTAGTCTTTCAGATACCAGCAAGGTGATCCATGGACAGGTCTCAGCAGAACTTCCAGGCCAAGACAGACTAGAAAAGAGGACCTGGAAATCTGTGCAGAAAAGACTGGCCACTGAGAGCCTTACGAATAGCATATTAAACACCAATGAGTGAGGACCGGACTAGCTGTGAGATGATCTCAGGGACATACATGAAGAAAGGAGAAGGTCATTAAAGAGACAGGAAAGGAAG